AAAAGCGACATGATGTTGAAGTCATCATGCTCGGTTGACATGGTTACTTTATAAAACACCAACAACCAATAAATTATTTTTGTTATTCACCAATAATACCAAGTTATTTAAATAAACGTTTATCAGTTGCAGGTAATGTATTTACCACAAACAAAGAGTACTGGCACAGGGGATAAAATTTTTCGTAAATTTTCTTTTGTTACTCTAAAGAATTATAACTGCTTACAAACAAACTTTTTATGTTTTACGAAACTCCGTCATTCATGATCCGACTTTAATAATTCTTTTCTTTTGCGTTCGGATTTGCTCCCATGTGGTCCGATATTAATTTTATTGATATAGGACCTTGGACTTCTGAGATACACCAGGGAACTTCTCAAAATTAAATATAAAATGTATAGTGAGTTAGATATTTGAGGATGGGTTTGTTTTTCGTTAATTAAATGTTAATAATTCCAGGAGAGGGTCGGGCAACATATCAGAGACGGAATCATACACGCGGGACCTGCGGTAGCTGTTGTCAGCGAGGCAACCTCGATCGGCAAGAAGTGAAGTTAATTAACGGAGGCCAAGATTCAAATTTAATTTTAAATTATACAATAAATTATTATTGATTCACCCCTGTCGTATATATGTAGACAGTATGTCTGCGCCTAACATTTTTAATAGGCAATTATATATAACGGACTCCACGACGCTTCAATTCGTTAAGGAAATATTATTTGAACATTCCGTCAAAATAGTTCCCCCCTGCCGTTATATTAAAGACAATTAATTCATTTAATACTTTACATTCATCTAAAAACAGAATCTACTTCAAAGCCACATTAAACTATCGTCTATTAAGCCTGATAGAGTTAAATTTTGCTGAACTGTAGGATTACCTACATATTATATAATGTTCTAAGCTATGTAATATATAGTAATGTTGAGTCACTATTTTTTACTTCAATGGTTACAGAGCATTCACGTGATGGTAAAGAGAATTCGGCCTATGGACAAAAGCCACTGGATGTTTAAAATATTTTTAAGTATAGAAGTAAAAGTAAAGTAAATAACGGCTTATATATGTCCCACTGCTGGGCAAAGGGCTCCTCTGTACACAGGAAATTTGAGCAGAAATACACATAGGTATATTTTCACAAGTTTACTCAATCATTCATACATATTTGCTAATGTGTCGCTCTGGATCTCTCGTGTTACTTACGATGAGCGGATGTAATCACTTACTAGTAGCATCACCTAACTACTGCCTTGTTTGTTATCGTCTTCTTTAAATAATCTGTAAAATCATATACAAATATAAAATCAGTATTTTTTTTTAACACCAAACGCAAACAGTGGTCAAACATGTTAATTGGAACAAGTATAAATAATGTAAAGCCTTGCCTTAACCGAAGTTCTTCTGTTTTGGGATAGGGGGAGGTGGTTTCCAAGAAACATTAATTCATTTGGAATTTCAAACGACAGTGGGAACATAAACAAATAAATCAATTTAATGAGGTAAGGAGGTAAGAAGATAATTATATTCCTCAAGGTTTGACATCAGGCAGGCGGCTGGTCATAAAACAAAGCCAAAACCGCTTCAAAATGAAGTCAAAATGAGATTCATGATGTGCCGACCCGAAAAAAGAACATTAATATAATTAGCATTAATATGTGAGGCTGCGAATTTTTCAATCCGGTGGCGTCAGTAGACCACCTGCCCAATGGATCAACAATATCTTAACGATCGCAGGAAAGACTTAGATTCGATCCGCTCAAGACAAACGTAAATGGCGCAAGAGGACGGAGGCCTAGCAGTGGACTGATACGAGCTGACGATGATAATGATGATGATAATATCTAACCTCTCTCTCTCCCCGCTCCCACTATCTCACTGCGTAGTGAAAACCATTTCAAGTAAGTGGTCCACTGAAATGGACGATTGGACGGGTCCATTTTGATCGCCCGTGAACCCAGTGTCACAGTTGTAAAACAACAGTTAGCGTTCTAACTTGGGAGCCTGGGACTAAGTACATAAAAATTAATCCCTATTTCCCTTGGTCATGCCATTACGCGTGAACGGCTGGACCGATTTCACTTTTTTTTGTGTTTGTTATTATCAGGAGAAGGTTCTTATGAGAGAAAACATTTTTAAAATTGCGCGGAAAATTAGAAAATTTGAGAATACTAATACGGTCGTCGTCGCCAATTTTTTGTGGCATTAATCTTGAAAATCCATGTTTTTCGCATGGCCAGTTATATGTCGCCTGTTCCCGTGTCGAACCACCAACAAAATTCATATACGCGCAAGAAAAAAAAAAAATCCAAGAATTTTTTACTTATATCATAAGGCATTAGAATAATAAACACACTTTTTTCAATTAATTATACCAATTCGAATTAAATAGTCATGGTTAGGACAACGTCTGTCGGGTTAACTAGTATAAAATAAATTTCATAATGCCTATATGCAATATAGATGGCATATACTTTCAAATGTATTTCATATTATCCTCGTTACGGGCACCTAATTCTCTTCTTCTTATTGTCACTTTTTTAATATACTTAGTACTCATTGTCACCTTCTGCAAGTAATATTTACGATTGTAGGACGTGGAAGGTAATACCGGTCCGCTATAAAACGACGCAATTCCAAACTTTCGTAAATTGTACAATAAAATGTCTGCATTCGCTGAAAACACATTTCAGAGTCCGAAGACTTAATGGGAGTTTTGTTCCGCAGCCGTTAAAATATAGGATAGCAGTTTACGGTACGCTTAAAATGTTAGGGCTTAAGTACAATTATATAAACATTATATTTGTATAGAGAAATGTACAGTAATTTAAGATATACGGTGAGCCAATAAAAAGCTTATCTATATACCTGTATAAAAATGAATCCCTATTTCCCTTGGTCACACCATCGCGCGTGAACGGCTGGATCGATTTCACTTTTTTTTGTTGTGTTTGTTATTATCAGGATAAGGTTCTAATGAAAGAAAAAATTAAAAAATTGCGCGGAAAATTAGAAAATTTAAGAATACTTATTTAAGAATACTTAACAACCATATAATATTATTTCTAATTTAACTTTAGCGCTTTGGACAACGCAAACTTTTTTAATAAAAGTAAAGTAAAGTAACAGCCTGTCCCACAGCTGGGCAAAGGGCTTCTCTATACAGAGGGTATCAGGGCATAGTCCACCACGCGGCCCCACTGCGGATTGGCGGACTTCACATATCTTCGAAATTTTTCTTTTATTATAATTTCGAAAATATGCAGGTGACCTCACGATGTTTTCCTTCACCGCGAAGCACGTGAAAAGTCAGCACTTAAAGTTAAAAACTTCATTGGTGTCGGCACCGGGGATCGAACTCAGGTTGCTCGAGTATATTGAATTAAAGGCGAGCGCCCGGACACTGAGCTATCACGGCTCCTTTTTTAATAGCAACAAAAAAAAAAGTGAAAGCGGTCTAGTCGTTCACGCGTGATGGCGTAACCAAGGGAAATAGGGATTCAATTATATATATATATATATATATATGTATATACACATACTAATTCGAATTAAATAGTCATCGTTAAGAAATGACAACGTCTGTCAGTTCAGGTAGTGTAATATAATATTATGTAAAGATTAATTATAAATAAACAAATAGGTTATACATAGACATCAACGTACCGTTAGACTGATATGTACACTACAAGACTGATATATATCATTACTATTATGAGAATTGTTTCCCGGGAAATACCCTACTGTGGTAGGGCCGCGCAATTGTGTTCACTATTGCACGAATGGGCAAGTCCGTCCGGCCACGATCACGACCTCACCTCACAGAAGACCGGCGTAATACCACATTTAACCGCTTTATTCAAAGGTGGCAGCGCTTCTGCAAACCTACGGGTGTTGCAAATGTCCATGGGCAGTTATCACTTAACTGAACCGCCAGGTCGTTTGCCACATAAAAAAAAATCCCATGGCTCCCCAGAGCCGTACTACTTACTATGCGTTCTAACTGGAGTTATGTGAAAGGAAGGCTATCTTAAACATATCCTGATACAGTAGTCCGTGAAAGGTAGTAATCACTTAGCACCAGTTTAAATCTCCATACGTTCGTTACATTCTACACAAAAAAAAAAAGTTCCCTATCACTACATAGTATTAAACAAAGTCTGTCCCTATGTATGCTTAAATCTTTAGGGAACGCTGGGTGTTAGGGGATAGTACGACACGGTTTATTGCATTGTTTTGTTCAGATCTACTCGTTTTGTATTGATTTGAGAATGCAATTTACATTTATGATTTAATTCGTACTGGAATTTGAAAATGGGTTACGAACATGTAATAAATAAATTAGTGATTGATTGATGCACGGACACTGAGTTACCGTCGCTCGAATATAATAATGGTTAAACTTTAAAATAATAAACTTTGAAATACTTAAAATTGTGTGTACAATGGTTTATTATATTAAGAGTACACTGAATTGATTAATGCACGAACACTGCTATCTGTTACCGCCGCCCGAATATAGTAATGATTAAACGTTAAAGTAATAAATTTTGAAATACTCAAAATTGTTGTGAATACTGGTTTATCATCATCATCATCATCATCATCATCATCATCATTTCAGCCTGTTTGTCCACTGCTGAACATAGGCCTCCCCCACAGACTGCCACGAAGTATGATCCTGAGCCATCTGCACCTGCACCAGTAACGTCAATAAGACATAGCATGTGTACCTATACTCGTAACATCAGAGATAAATAAAAATACAACAAATTATAAAAGATTAATAAATATTTTATTTACAAGAAATTTCTTTTTTTTGATATCATTTTCTTGACCTTCGCATTTTTTCTTTTGTGGAAACATAAGGTTACTTCCATTTTCTTGTATTGTATACAACTGAACAATATTCTCAATGTTGCTCTGATTATTATGCCTACTTAATTATAGTATTTGTGACTATACTTAATACATTTTCCTGCGGTGTCACAATTTCCTATCCTTTGATCACTGACGCTGCTTGACCTACAACTGCCACAGCGGGGCCGGCTTTGATTATACCATCGCGAATATTTCTCCCCGCTTTCTCCTGTAAAGAAAAAAAATTTATAAAAAATGATATAAAAATTTTGATATCCTTAATTTTTTTTCCAAAAGCAAAAACATCACCAAGGGGGTAAATGATAACAGGCGGTTAATAGTGGACACGAAATTTGAATGGAGAACAGACCATTCTTAAAAATTCGTAAGGTTCAATTCTGATGAAATTGTGTAGTGAAGATGGTCTATATGTAATTGTGGGGGTAAAGCTCAGTTATTTCTGGACTTATGTTCTAAACGACACTTATATGGAAAATAAAAACTCTGCATGGATTCATTGATTAGGATGCTACGGAATCACCAGGTTTTAATACATTTTACAATAATTCTTTCCGTTCACGAAAACGGTTAGTTAAAGGAAAGCCATGATAGCTCAGTATCCGGACGCTCACTTTTAATTCAATATTCTCGAGCATCCATATTTAAAACCCCTCTGACACCAATCAAATTGTTAATTTTATTAGAAAAAAAATGTTACAACCTTACGTGAAGTTCACGTATTTGCATTGGGTATGCGTGTTGGACTCTGGCAATAATCTCTGGTGGAGGCTTTTATCCAGCAGTTGGATATAAATATACGGTTGCTTAGATATTAGATAGAGCCGTGATAGCTCAGTTTCCGGGCGCTCGCCTTTAATTCAATATACTCGAGCAACCTGAGTTCGATCCCCGGTGCCAGCACCAATGAAGTTTTTAACTTTAAGTGCTGACTTATCACGTGCTCCGCGGTGAAGGAAAACATCGTGAGGAAACCTGCATATTTTCAAAATAATACCAAAAAAATATATATATTTCGAAAATATGTGAAGTCCGCCAATCCTCAGTGGGGCCGCGTGGTGGACTATGCCCTGATACCCTCTGTATAGAGGAGGCCTTTGCCCAGCAGTGGGACATGTATAGGCTGTTACTTTTACTTTTTAGATATTTACCCCTTATTATCTTTGGAATGGAAATTTTAAATATAGCGCGTTGATAGACCAGTCGATCGTACTAATATTCTTAAGACAATAATGTAGAACAAGCAAGATACTACTCACAATTTTTTTAAACACTTTCCATTTCGCTGACGTCACACTGAGTGCGGCAAAGCAAGCCAATACGAAAAACAGAATCCTGACGAAGTTCATGGCTGTGAAGAGCTTTCGTTTGAGCGTCAGCTGGATCTAAAATCGAATGATGAATGACCGGAGTGAATCTCGCTTTATACCGTTGCAACACAACCATATCGCAGTTACCTAGTAAAGTCCGGATACGAACGAAAAACAACCTTAACGCTATGCCATAAGAACGATACTTCATTGGCGTCGGCTGATGCGTGCTGGGATTTGATAACGGGTCGCGGGTAAACCTCCGGAGAGCAATACGTCGTTCGTATGGAAGTGAATCCCCTTTTAATTGGAACGAATACATGAATGCCAACAATCACTTCATAGTAGAATACAAAGTCATCCCACTGTCTGTCTGTCCCTATGTATGTTTTGATCTTTAAAACTACGCAACGGATCTTGAAGCGGTTTTTTTAATAGATAGAGTGATTCAAGAGGAAGGTTTATATTTTTAATACGTTGCACCCGTGCGAAGCCGGGGCGGGTCGCTAGTTTGGAAATAAGAGTGCTTGGTGACGAATTAATAATTTTCGCTTTAGATAACGTTACATTTCATTATTCATTATACGAAAATTATTACCTTCTACAATGTTCTGTGGTGGCAATTTTATGTATTTTTTATGTAAGAAGGTGACCTATGAGATGGGGGCTCACCAAGTTTTAGGTGATTTGTTTTTACAACTTTATTTTACATGATTATCTTCTAACGAGCAACTAATGTTAGAGTTTATCGTTATTAATTACACAATTAATATCGAATTAAAACATTATTTGCGTTGTCGCAGTTGATTGATTATTGGTATTATGAGATGTTTGTTTAGTGATCAGAAGTAAAACTTGTTGTCGACGTTATCTTTAATCGTTATTACTATGCGCAGATAAAATAATGTCGTGTTATTCTCTTTTATTTTTTTTATTATATTACAATACGTAACTATGCGCAGGTATTTAGATTTGCCAAAACTATGATATGTAAAACTTTATATCTCGGATTCATAAAGATATCAAATATAGATAAATACCTTGCGAAGTGCCATAACAAGCAACCGATCTTTTAAAATGTTTAGAGAAAATTACAAAAAGTTATTCCCAGCTGTGGGAATGCGAAGTTATAGGCGCGAATCCCGAAGACTTGAGTTCGATTCCCACGGCGGGGAAAATCTTTTCGTACCTTTTGATTTTAAATTTAAGACAATCTTTTTCGAAGTGCATGAAGAAGTAAATTTTTCATTTTAAAATTGATAATATATGAGGCATTCATTGATAAAGAATAAGGGAATTAAAATGTGTTGTAAAGTGTAGTCAATTGAAACTTGAAAAGGTATAATAAAAATATCAATTGTAAAGAGAGTAAAAAAAATATTTAAAATACGCAACAGCAGAACAGAAATAGTTCGTTGTAAATGACTTAATGTTCCTCAGCCCCTGTCACTCACTCACCCCTATACTGAACAGATATTTCTCTTGAAATAGATCCTGAAATGCTACAACTGAAATGCTCAATGTCACGAAGAAATACGAGTTGGTCTAAACAAAGCCTTACAACTTGCTCTTTTTTATGGAAAATACGGGCAGGAGGCTCAGCTGATGGATAGAGATCACCGCGGCCCATGTACATTTGGCATTTTAGAAAAATAATATACTTTTTTCTTGAAGGTTCCCAGGTCGTAACGTTTGGAAAAGCTTTACAAACTTTTTATTTGCACTCATCATGCCAGCAGGCTTTTACGCACCGCCCTAGCTTTCTCTTTAAATCGAAAAGGTTCGATGCCCAAAAACTATTGTTTGAACAACTTAGTGTTTTTCTAGTATCTGTGTGTTTTAACATGTATTTATCTAGAAAAGAAAAGTATGTACAAGTATATCTATCAGTTAGCCAGTAACGGAAGTACAAGCTTTAATTACTTTTTGGGCGAGATAACTAAATTTAAAAATATGACCTGAAATAGTCAATGTTTATTAGTTGTCGCCCCGTGGTCGAAATTCGACCATAATTAATTTAAACATGGTAGCATTTTAAATGTTTTTTTATTGATTGAATGCATTTTTTATGCATAATTAAATATAATATTAGCATTCTGCACTCCTTTTCTATATAAACTATAAGTGTGGGGAATTTCATACTCCTCCGTCCGCACAATTTTCGTAAAAAGGAGCGCAAAGTTTTAGTTTCACGTATTTATATATAGTTTTATTAAATAAAATAACATGAAGTGCAAAACATTATCAAAAAGTCGATGGTAAGTATACTAATTGTGATATTAAAACTTTTAAATTTGAACATTCTCCAGAATTGTTTAACGGAAAAAGGAACCCATTAGCTGTAGCCGAATTATATTTTACAATGGTGAGTGTGCATTCCATTTAGCGAGTATTTAATGCAAAGAGAACTTTTTAGTGCTACTTTTTTTTCTGAATCTAGAAAGAAGTTTCGTTTATAAATAAAGAATAAATAAATCTTGTATATATATACAGCGTGTCGTTACCGTCGCGACAATAAATGAACACACGTCTAACGCTACTTGCCAATAATCATAAAAAAATATTAACGTTAAAGAAAATCCATAATTAAAAAAAATATTTTTCAAACAAACAAATTAAGTAAAAAAGAAACAAAATTTGTAACATCCTATACAACTCGCGCCACAGCGTCGTATTACAAGCCTCTCCTTCTAACAGTATGTTTTGTCTCTTTTAAATTCATTCAACCCGTTCATATGCTTTGTGACCTTTACAAATAAACTTTACGTTACGCTTTTATAGGTAAGGGTGTTTTAAAATTGGAAATTTTAAAATTGGAAATTTTAAAATTGGAAAATTTAATAACTCTGTAAATATTGATGGTTAAAGAATTTAAATGTTTAATACAACTTTAAAAAGTTATCCCCTATATGTGTGTTCATTTATTGTCGCGATGGTAACGACACGCTGTACATATATATATATGTATATATATATATATATATATATATATATATACAAGATTTATTTAAAACAACGTTTTCCGGGTCAGCTAGTATTAGATAAATTTAAAATCAATGATTAACTAGCACCGTGTGAAAGGTTCACATTTCTCTATAGATTAATTTGATCTGTACTGATAAGTTTCAGGCTTTTATACGTTTAAAATGATAACTGAACTTCCGGGTGAATATTTAACTATTGTGGTTATAGAAGATATTGAGTTAAGGGCAATAACGGTGTAATTTTACAAAATGTATACTTTTTACTAAATTTATGTTCAATTTTATCATGAAATTTGGAAACCGTTAAACAGTAAGCATTTGTCCACGCTGAACAAGAGTAATGATTTTTATATAATTTTTTTTAATTAGTTAAAATCTGTGTTTAACAGAGACGATTCGATGAATCATAAAAAAAATATTAGTTAAATTTCTACTAAATATTGGATAGTCATTACATATAATCAAACAAATTTCTATAAAACAATAAGTTCTATAAAACATAAAGTAAGTGCGGAAAGCCCATGATATGGTTATATAAAAATAGTAATAATTCACAAGAGGATAGATAGGTCGATTAACGAGACAAAGGTTTTCCGTCCGAGTTATCAATGAGTGTTAGTCATTCATACATAACAGAGTCGAGAAAAAACATTGTAAATTCTTGAACTTGCCCTATAGGCGATTGATTTTCCTGTATTTATTTGATTGTTCACTCAATTAATAATTTTAATTATTAAATCATTGCGGGAAAAGGGAATTGATTTTATATTTTTTTATAAAACACTGTGTAATTATTATTATGATAGATCCTATATGAGTAGAAGACTAGAGAAAGTTGTACTGACTAAGACTATGGCGATTTCATCGATGGTTGGTTCTCAAAACTATGTTTAAGTTTGCATCATTATCATTATTAAGATTTTAGCATTGATTGTGATTGTAAAAAAAATCTGGAAAATCTTCATTAAATGCATAACGTTTTTTATTTCAAATGCGGTGTTTTGTTATGTAACATGATAGTAAAAAGGCTCAATTAGTGCTCCGTAACAACCCCTGTAAATCAAACCATAATCAAGTGGGGTTGTAGTTTTTTTTTTTTTTTTTTATGCGAAAAGTTGTCAAACGAGCAGACGGTTCACCTGATGTTAAGTGAATACCGCCGCCCATGGACATCTGCTACACTCGAGGGTTACAGATGCGTTGACAACCTTTTGAAAATTGGGCTCCGGCTACCTCACTCACCAGACGAAACGCGAAAGTATTTGTCATACTTCCACTTTACGCCGGTCTTCTGTGAGGTCGTGGTACTTACCCGGACGGGCCTGCCCATTCGCAACCTCGGCAACAGCCGAGGCTGCTGCGTGGCACTACCACCGTAAAGTAGTTGCTAAACTAGGCTTCATGGATCTCATCAGACGAAATTCATACACCCCATGTAACATATTCTTTTTTCTACTTTTAATTCTGCATCCTTATCATCCACATCCAGTCTTTTGGAGAAACTCAGAGTCGTACAACGAGTTATGGATAGAGCTATGCTCGGAGTTTCTTTGTGTGGCAAAATCCGGAACCAGGAAATTCGCCGAAGGACCGGAGTCACCGACATAGCTCTCCAGATTTGCAAGTTGAAGTGGCAGTGGGCAGGCCACATCGCTCGAAGAACTGATGATGGGAAGTAAAGGTTCTCGGGTAGTGAAGACGTCGCGTTGGAAGGCCTCCCTCTAGATAGACCGACGACATCATAAGAGTCGCGGGCAACCGGTGGATGCAAATGACAAAGTGTCGTTCGTTGTGGCGTTCTAAGGGGGGTTATGTTCAACATTGGACGTCTTGCGGCCCATGATGATGATGATGGTGATGATCGTCCACATATTAAAATTACTCTTTTTTGTTTCAGTACTGTTTGTACGTCTTCACTCCACCTCCTTTGTTTGTATCCTGATTTATTTTCTTCCTGTCCTTTTCCTGTCCTTCAGTTTCTCACGTCTATTGCTATACCCCTTAAACATTCTGCCATTCCAACATTCATTCATGTGAATGAATGTCTGAATGTCACTTCGAACTCCATTCGTCATTCTATGAACTACTTCCTTTCAAAATTTTCCGCATACTCATACTTATGCAACGTACCATTTTATTTTGAGCAGGGGTTTTGTTTTCTATTTGTACTCGTTTTCTATTTGGGTTGTATGGCTGTCGCTATTATTAGTTCCGCGGTTTTGGTCTTATTTCATTTTATTCGTATTGTTACTTCGTTACAATGTGAAGATAAATAAGTAAAAACTTGGGCCAGATTAATTAATTTATTTATTTACATGATGTTACATAAATTCTTACATGAATATATCATCGGATTACCTTGGACTCAACAGAAAGACGTGTGGAAATGCCCATTGGTGACCGTAATTTGATTAAATCAATCTTACTAGTCTTCAGCACAGGCGTAAAGTAGCCAGCCTTGCAGTTTTGTACAGGATGCATTATGGAGAGTGTGCAGATTTGCAAAATTTGATTCGTCCCGCCTCTTTCCATCATCGGACAAGTAGGCGTTCGGCCGGGCTCTATCCTTTTACTGTCGTCGTTCAATGCACAAGAACGAAGCGATTCGCTTCATTATTTATCTTCCGTTAAACTAAGGAATGGAACAACCTTCCTGGATTATAACAGAGGCCTTTAAGAGTGAGTAGGATTTTACTGAGTTAGCGAGCTTGTCATCATTCAAGCGCTGTCATTCAGTTTCTTATTAAAACAGAATAAATTCATTTCATCGTTCATTTTTATTTTGTTATGGTTTTTTGTCAGTATTATGTATTTGTTTGCTCCAGGGATAATAGCAGTGAATGAAAAAAATACATCATTCTTTCTTTGTTTGTCCTATTTATGATGTTATTATGGTACAATTTGTTTATGAATATTCTTCTCATTATTCTTCAAAATTATCTGTAATTGCCTGTTTATTATTTTATTAGCTTTATTTCCGCGTTTTTCGTTAATGTTGTTATGAACATGACAAAATTTGTGTTTTACTCCTCATCTCATGATAAGTGATTATGACACCCATAGATAATCGCTACGTCAGAGATGAACTGGATGATAATGGCACTAAGTTTCTCGGTTTTCTTTTTTAGGTACAGGTAGGTGCTATATTGTTATTGTAAAAGAAAGGGCAATGTAGCGTAGAATAATTTAATGGCAGTATATTTACATTGGCATCTTACACGTAACTTAGGAGATTCTTATTACAAATTAAAACTAACTGAGTCCGTTTTAAGGTGTACTCAACCTTTGATTACTGAGGTAGCTTGGCCGACTACTGCAACCGCAGGACCAGCCTTGATGATCCCGTTACGGATGTTTCGTCCGACCTTTTCCTGGAAACAAATGCGATATGTATTTATTATGCCCTTGGGTGTACTTACGTTAAGGGCTGCCTATTAAAGAAATAAAAACCAATATTAATGTTTTGGAGTTAGTTTTAAGAATAGGAAATTACAATGATAGTGTTATCCGTCATACATAAATTTATTTTATGATATAAAGACTTAATTGAGTACTGAATTTTATTAATCGTTTGGTTAAATTATTGTGTGGGTTCCATTTATTTAGTTTTCAAGTAACTTATTAAAATATTATAATACAGCTGATATCGTTAAAGGACTTTAATATTTCAGCTATTAATGCTCGTAATCATCGTAGTTGTTTCATTGTGAAAGATTTTTCGTTTGAAAAAACATATAAATACGAGTGTCATTAAAATATTAAAATTATCTTATAAAAACATAGCAATTAATTCAAACATAGTAAATACCATGCCAAAAATCTTAAAACTTAATTAATGGCCAGGTTGTTTTTATTTCATAAATATGAAGTATTTAATTTTTAAAAGGATTAAACTGTCAAGCCGCGTAATTTGTAAGAGAAATATAATTGGGGGGCAAATAAAAAAAAACGTGTTCAGTAATAGACATAAAAATATTAAAGTACTTACGATTTTCTTGAATATCTTCCATCTAGGGCTAGCGGATGTCACACTGAGGGCGGCAAAGCAGGCCATTACGAAGAACAGGATCTTGGCGAAGTTCATTTCGAATGGAATACGAGAGAACTCTTTTATTAATATCAAAATGCGGAAGGTATGAGCGTTCCTTACTGTATGATGAATGCACAAACACGCGGCACATTTTATACAACAGCATTCGCCAATTTATGAGCGAACTCGTGAATTAAATGCTTACTCTAAAAGAAACCTTATTCCTATGTGCAATTAGAGCTATAATGATATAAGCGTACCGCAATAGGTTTAGCTCGGCGATAACGCAAACGTAAACAATGCAAGGGGAACGTCCATCGTCCAGAACTGCCAGTGAATCCCCGTTTTAATAGTGTATCGTGAATTAATTAGATATCGGAAAACGGAGCCAGTAAAAAAAAAAGATTAATATCGTTTAAATTTCGATTCTTATGAAATAGATAACTGTCTGTACCATTATTCACTCGTTACTAAAGGACTAAAAATAATGAATTGAATTTTTGAGTACCTTGTGGCTAAGTGCATTCATTCTTCCTCACGTTTTTTTGTAACTGTGAAGAGTTGCCCTGTCTGAAAAAATATCACTTTGCAAGCTAACCGACCACCGACAATCTTCGAGGATTTCCGCCAGATGATCGAAGTAACAAGAACGTACCCAAATGTTAGACTGCTTTTGTTACATGATGTTCATGTACAAGAAATGTATTGTCTGTGAAAACTAGCAATGTTTGACCGAATTCAATGTATTCGGCATTGTTCATATCTGCTCACCATAATGTTGCTTTGTATTAATATAATGTAATTATTATATAATTTACAAACTTTGCTTTTACTTAAGTTTAGCTTCGTTGAATATCGGACTTAAAATTAAATTAATAAAGTTCTAATTTAATTTTGACACATGAAAGGGATGGAAGATCTCTAATCACAACCGTTAAGTAATTGTCCTTTTTTTTTGGAAGACTATCATCTTTCTTGCTGTTGCTGCCTTTACGTTATTTTAAATGCTTTAGGCCAACTACCAGATAAGACGTCGAGAATTTGGTCGGGCGGTGAGGATGTTGACTGCAAAGGTTAGTGGCTAGTGTCTGGAAGTTTAATCTGGAAGGCGTAATTTTTTATAAAAATCCTAATTACAAATTTATTTTATAGAATGTGTGATTTTATTATATTTATTTATTATTAATCCACTGAACAGTAGCTGTTCTAATCTGATATCTTTTAGTGTAATATTAAAGTAGTTTTAGTGTAATATTAAATCATCTTTCCAGTTTTGCTATTTGAATTGTTCATTTAATACTCTGCCTTTTTTCTGCCGCATTTGGACATTTGCAACACCCGTATGGTTTCAAATGCGTTGCCACCTTTAAATAAAGTGGGCCCGACTTCCTCACTGACCAGACGAAACGCAGAAGTGTAACACTTCTAATTTATGCCGGTCTTCTGTGAGGTCGTGGTACTAACATGCACGGCCCTGCCCATTCGTGCAACAGTGAACACTGTTTCGTGGCCCTACCTCTTTTAAACGACTTTTTCCTGCTTCCAGATTCTTGTCTATTAATGTTTAATTCCTCTTAATTTATTTGTTATAAGATATTACTTGTATGTTGTGTGCGTTGTGCAGCCCTATTGCCCTTATTAGGAAGATGTGAAAGTTTGCCTGTTTCTTAATTTTTACTTATACAAGTGTCGTATAAAACTATGTAATAGAAATTGGTAGACATTGAAAAAATATCACTGAAATAAATTTAGCGTCCATTTGCTAAGATAAAGTTGTAAGATTGTTAATCCAATTTATGATTGTGTATACATTCAGCGTAGGACCGTTGATGCTGTTTTAAATAAAACAGCATATGTCATGATATGTTTTCGTTTCCGTGAAAGTAGGTTAATAACTTTAGTACAGGTAATTGTACGGATCTAAACGATATGTTGTCAAAGCTGTATGATAATTTAAGTATAATGATTTTATGTAGTGTGTTAGTGACTTTATGTAGATAGGTTAATTGTTTCGATAGTTTAAGGTTTTGGCTCAGAGAAATGGAGTATACTAAACTTTAGAAAAATTTGCATGAAGGGGGAATTTCTAACGTTTTTGGTGAAAATCTACCAAGGCCCCCAGGTTTTATAGCTGTCTATATACGGTCGTAGTCACTTAACATCAGGTGAATCACCAGAGCTTTAAAAACCTTTCAAATTAAAGAAAAGTTTATTTTTTTTTGTGAACATGGACTTTATTCTGTCAAATTATTTATGATTGCGATTTTTATGAGAAATTATTTCCTCCAAAAAGAAATTATTTCACACGGTAATTGTACATCTTATAAATGACATGTTCGCTCACACTTACTTGTTCTAATAACATATTTTTTGCACCCACATGACAAATAAATCTATAGTTTACATACGAGGTCCAACTATCGAATCACAGACAATAAATTTATTTACAATTTTTTCTGTGGTAAAGCCACTCGGCACTTTCTGCTTCTCACAAAACTTATGGTGATTTTACGGTCTTGAATAGAGCCCTAAGGTCTAATTATGCACTTTTTATGCTAACAGGCCTTACACCTGATGTGAGTACTGCCGCATGGACATCAACAACTCCAAAGGTTGAGTTAGTTGGGTTGCAGTAGGACCGCCGTCCTTCAAGGAATTAGACCCTGCCTCCTCACTGACCAGACAAAGTGTGAACAGTTCAGCATTACGTACAGTCTGCTGATAGGGCGTGACATTGACTCGGATGAACCAGCGCATTCGGCCAGCAACAGTGAGCCGAAACCGTATCCATGTTCTACACCTTCCCTTCATTAATATTATTCATGCTTAAAACTAAAACAAAATTCCCTCATTTCCTTTCATGCCCTGGTTGACTAGAAGGGAATGCCATTTAGCATCAAGTCCGCTCCTTGTTATTCCTTACACTTGTAACTAAACGTAATTTTAACGATTGAAAAATATAATATTTTGTAATTGGAATCATGAAAAACAATAGTTTGTCTTTATATATATAATCCTACTCTACGTGTGTATGTCACTTAACTTCTTCAAAACGGTTGGGCCGATTTTAATGAATTTTTTCAGGTCGATTCGAGAATAGTTTAGATTCATAATTCAGCCAGAATTTTAACGGTGGTAGGGCCACGCAGCAGCCTCGGCTGTTGCACGAATGGGCAGGTCCGTCCGGGTGGGTACCACGACCTCACAGAAGACCAGCGTAAAGTGGAAGTATGACAAATACTTTCGCGTTTCGTCTGGTGAGTGAGGTAGCCGGAGCCCAATTTTCAAAAGGTTGTCAACACATCTGTAACCCTTGGGTGTAGCAGATGTCCATGGGCGGTGGTATTCACTTACCATCAGGTGAACCGTCTGCTCGTTTGGCAACTTTTCACATAAAAAAAAAAAAAAAAAATTCAGCCGGCTACATTTTTTTTTCATTTCTAAGTTGTCGATTTTAAGTCCGGTAGTGTACAGGTAAACGTGTGTCCGGTCCGATAGGATAATTATAAATTCTTTTCTCACAATGTTGATAAACTGCCATAGCAGAAAAATGGTGTTCCAATATTTTATTAACTATTCAAAAATTAAAATCAGGCGTTTTGAATTGGGCGAAGATTTTATTAAGAGACGTTTTTCAATTTGATTATAACTTGCATAGAAACCGATCAATCTAGTGAAAGAGTGTTTTGTAAAAATGACAAATATATTCGAATATAAACCTTGAAAACATATTTACACGAGACAGATGGTCACAAACAGCAATGAAATAAAATTGAAATGAAACCGATGAATAATTTTTATCGCCATTTTGCGTTTCGGTGAATCGCTGAGCCATTATCGAATTCTGAAGCCCGGGGATTCACTTTATCTCGTGAGCACGGTACTTCTATTACGCACATGTCTGACCCGCTATAACCCCGTGGCGGAGTTCCACCGTTTTAAAACAGCTCGTATTATGTGCCTGATAAGGTCTAATGTACCCTACGAGTGCGCTCGTAAGTTGTGGTCGTGTTTGCTAATAAAATTCCTTTAAAACAGGTCGAACGCCTTGTAATTAATTATTCTAACCCGAGCTTTGAGTTAAAATAAGACTACTAGTGAAGTTAACTCTGTATTATTTTTTTAATAAATTTAATCCGCAATGAACTTCGTAAAAATTCTAGTCTTCGTAATGGCTTGCTTTGCAGCCTTCAGTGTGACTTCGGCGAGCCCCAAGTGGAAAGTCTTTAAGAAAATTGTAAGTGATTTTATTATTTCTTAAATGTATGTAGACAAACACAATAACAGCCGCGGCTATTTAAATATTTATACAAAAGTGCTGTTAAGTAATTAAAACGTCGTCAGTAACAATGTATATATCTCGTTACTATGCATAATCTTTTAGGAATTAATCGTGAGGGCAAAAATAAAAAAAAGTGTAATTGTGACCGGACTTGTTTTTATTTTTTTTTTATATTAATCTGTAATCCGTCAGTTAGTACCTGCTAGAAAATAGATCACTAAAAGAAAACATGTTTAAGACTAGACTCACTTCAATAAGTTACATGTTACCACAAGTGGAAAAAACTGATAATTATAAAAATGATTTAATGCTTCTATATTTACAGATTAAACAATGTATCTTTTTTAATATTCGCAGGAAAAAATTGGTCGCAATGTACGCGACGGTATCATAAAAGCTGGACCAGCGGTGCAAGTGGTCGGGCAAGCATCGCAAGTTTACAAACAAGGATGAAATATCTTAAGATATATGTGTAGTACATAGATTATATAAGTATCTAAGCTTAATAAATTAGAAAATTAAAAGATTTTATACAAATACCGATTTCTTTTTAATTCACGGAAGCATCAATGCGTACTTGGCATAAGAACACTACCCGGCTATCGGATTTGGAAAATAGCTAATCCTGAAGATCCTGATCAGGATAATGAGAAAAATTATTTAAATTATTGCATTTTCAAGGGACTGATGAGTGTGCAAAGATTGATTGAAATCTGATCGTTTTAAATAAATAATAAATACGGTTAAAAGAGGCTAAAAATAATATATGTAGTTGTTCGATTTTGATGAATGATTTATGGGAATAAACTGCTATAGTTTGGATAATTTAAGACATTGCAAAGTTTTATAAAAAAATACCATCAAGAGTGCACGTAAAAATATATAAATAAATATTTCAGGACATATTTTTAAACAATGTTATCTAGTCCCGTACTAAGCAAAGCTTGTACTATGGATAATGGGTAACTAATGATCATACTTATACATATTTTTCTTTTGTAAATAAATACATATTATGGATATATAAGCACCCAGACACTAGAAAAACACCATGCTTATCACGCAACATTTTTCCAGTAATGAGGTAATCAAATCCACGCCTTCTAGCGCAGGAGACAGGTCCACTATTGACTACGCCAATCACTTCATCAAAAAATGTTTGTAGCATATCTACTGTAGTAGGGCCACGTGGCAGTTCTTGCTGTTTTATGAATCGGCGGAGTGAGGAAGATGGACCGATTATTTTAAATAGTGGCAAAGTATTTGCTTAAGTGCTGCGGATGTCCATATCGGTTATCACTTAAAATCAGTTGGATCACAAGGTTACTTGTCATATGTTTTCATAAAAGAAAGCATTATTTGTTGATCGACTTATCCTTTTCGATTGATATAAATGGCAGAAAATCCAAGCAGAAGTTTTTGAACAACAAAATAAATTGGTGACTAAGATAACCGAAGATCCCCTGTTTTGAAACCATTTTTAATCAACACCACCTTCCCATGACCTTCAAATAAACCTTTTACTATCCTATGATAAAAGTTAACAATTGCGAATTCAGTATTGTATAAAAAAATTGAATATAGTTCGATAACGATGTAGTAAGTTGCATCCTTACTACTATTGAAATCCTTTATTGGATTAATAGTTGCAAGGATAACCTTATTTTTTTTAACTTTATCATTATAAGTGTTAAAAGACTAGTTACCAAATGCGTTGGCTGTGAACTACAACAGGGCGAATATTTAAGCCTCTTGTAGCTCTAAATAGCCCTGTGTCAATACAATTTGACCCTATAGGAAATCCGATTTAGAGCATATAGGAGCGTTAATATTGATGTGATTAAATCGCACTTCAGTAATGAAAGCCATTAAAAGGTAAATCGTTCAGCTCCTAACAGAGCAGTGACATATTATCTGGAAAAACGTAAACGTGACAAGTTATTTTTTTAGTGTAACAAAAGAAAACTAGCCAAAAATATAATATATATAAATGTGTGTGTGTGTGTGTGTGTGTACTTCATCGCTTGACCCCAGAGGTACCAAGGATTCACAGACGATTATTGTGAAGTAGAAGTATCGTGTTTTTTCATTGTGAGGGAACCGGGCCTACTGTTCCCAAAGGTCGGAAACGCACCTGCGACCCTTGAGGTCTTGATAATGTCTCTAAGTCGACGCTAACCACTTGACATCAAGTGATTAGCGCTCTGCTTCTATTTATCTGCTTACGTGCTACTTTATGACATAAAAATGTAAAAGGATCGCCAAGTGTAAAAAAAAATATCATATTACATAACGTATAGATTTATTCTCCAAATATTTGTTTTTAAAGATCATTTATAGATTTGTTAGAGATCTTAACTTTAAGAAGCTCGCATTTCCCCGGCACGACCTTTGATAAGAAACACCAATTAATAAACTTTAACGCCTCAAGATACATCAAAGGAACTAAGTAAATAATTTACAGGTAAAGTTTTCTTTGTATAGTTGCTTAAATTACTTTAAGTTAAATTGACTGGTTGTGACCGGTGCGTTGATTACTTCCAGCGCATTTTGTTTGGAATAGATGTGTTAATACGCTTACAGGACTAAATTGAACTATCCTGCGAGTCAAGTCCGTGCTTAAATAAACGATCACGGCATGCTTAAATAAGGTCGACTATTACAATCTATATACTAGCGGAACCGACAGACGTTGTCCTGTACACACGCCTTAAATTCGAAAATTTCAAACATTTTTGAACACACAAAAAATCATTAAAATCGGTCCAGCCGTTTAGGAGCCGTCAGAAGTCTAATGAACATTATATGCAACATTACATATACATAATATATACAAAAAGTATTTAGAAGCAAATTAACAAGCATGCTTCATCTTTTAGAGCAAATAAAAACTCGACCTTAGTACCATACTAATGTTTCAACTAGGAATAGCAATTAAACATTAACAGGCTTAAGTGAACGCGTACAGTGACGCAACAGTATAGCGATAAGGGGTCGCTCGAGGTCAAATGCTGTCGGTTATTTCTGAAAGTGAATCCCCTTTCAGAACGATTTCTGTAATAAACCTTTATACATATCGTGAATTTGAATGTATTTTTTTGTCGTAAACTCAGTTGACATATTAAAAATGCGCAGTTTATAATGGACACAAAAATGAATTGATACTCTCTGTGGCCAGTTCAGCAAACGAATTTTTTTTTAACCAATGTTTACAATCTTTATTGATCTAATATTTACAAGATTAAATCTATCTAAAATTACATATTATTAAACGAATGGAATAACGATTACTACCTGCCACGCACAACCCAATCGTGAAATCAATATTGATGCTTTTGATATTTCCGAATCGAAAAGGTTTGGTATCTCCCAGAAGAGAACTGATTACTACCTCAACGTCCGGAAACGTATTAGTGATTTTTCTCGTGTAGCGAGTTTCCATGCTTACCAAAACATCTTCTTTCTTATATATAGAAATGGATTGCTGTTCGTTAGTCTCGCTAAAACTCGAGAACGCCTGGACCGATTTGGCTAATTTTGGTTTTGAAATATTTGTGGCAGTCCAGGGAAAGTTTAAACGATGAGAAATTATGGAAAAATTGCATGGAAAATCGAAATAGCAACGATTTTATTTTCCCATGCAAACTGTTCCTACCTGTCAAACATTTTATGGGTGCGTTCCGAAATTATTTTTCTATGTGTTCAGATTCACAAATTCCCTAGAAATAATTTATATGGCAAAACAAGGTTTGCCGAGTCAGCTAGTCTTCTTCTTCTCTATTTAGAGGAAAGATTTGATTGTTTGTATGTATTGAATAGGCTCCGAAACTACTGAACCGATTTAAAAAATTCTTTTCACTGTTGAGAAGCTACATTATCCCTGCTTGATATAGGCTAGATTGTATTTTCAAAAAAATTTGGGATCCTTACTAAAACTCCAATTATGTTACTCAAGGTGTACAAAAATTACCTAGAATATTCTTTACATCGCGTGCGCTGTGAAAACCATTGAAGATAGAATAATATAATGTACTACGACTTTGCAGAACACATTATTATTTACAAAAAGTGTCGCGACAGCATATGTCTAACTATTATAGTTATGCCACAATAAGTGTTCTTTTATTTTAAAATTTTCATTCAAATGCCGCCGCTAGAAAAGGCTCTTTATTTGCATCTTGGTATTAATCCTTATATAAATAACATTACTTCTTATTTAAGACTGTTTCAATATCTTTATATAACTTTTTGAATTATTAAATTCGGACAATCCATTCCTTAGATATTGCACGTTTAAAAATGTTAGTATATTGTAATTTAACTATCCAAACAACTTAGTGACTGACTTAGTAGTTCTTATAATTTTTCAATCACATTTATACTGGTAATTCCTTCTCAACAGTTAGCAAATTATTTGATAGAAAGGCAGTTTAATTTTTTTTTATCATTTTAAAATGGCCAAAAGATCAAGATCTCATCTTTCTAGAAATAGTTCCCAGGCGAGGGCATCAAAAATACATCGCAATGAGGAAACTGAAAAGCGTCTTACAAGTCGGACAGTGTCAAATAGAGTGTTTGCAGCGGCTTGAAGAGCATAATTATATAAATATACAAATTCACACTAGGGAATCGAGTTTCGAGTGTTCTCAACAGTCTTCCATCCACATCGGAGCCACGATATGATCTGCTCTAAGTGTTCTGCCAAAAAATGGGTCGATGAACCAAATGGTATGTGCTGTGCTTCTGGAAAAGTTAGTCTCCCCAATATTGAGGAGGCGCCACAACTAATAAAAAATCTTTTTACAAATAATCATTCACCATCAGGATATTTTTAATCAACATCCGAAAGTACAATAGCCTCTTTCAAATGATTTCGTATAGCGCGAACTTTTTAAATAGAGGGACAAGTAGACAAGTTATCATCATCCTCCTGCCCCTATCCCGCCTAAGTGGGGTCCAAAAAACCCAAAGATGCGATGATTTATGTCCGAAGCTATGGGAGACCAGACTTATTTGTCACTTTTACGTGACGTAATTTCAAGGGTATTTCATTAAAAGATGAAGAAATTCGTAAAATTATTCCCCAAAGACGAAACATTCGCAAGGTTTTATGTGTGTGTATGATAATTTTTACTTATAAAATTTTTGTTAAATACCCGTGCGAAGCCAGGGCGAGCTTCTAGTTTATAATAAAAGTAAAGTTTTCAATAAATATGTATTGAGTCCTTGTTTCTGCCAAGATGTCCGAATTAATAAAGGAGCACATAAGCCAATCAAACATGTATGTTAGTTATTCTATATCCGAGTTAACTGTCCAACTGCGCTATAGTACTTTTAATATTTGCAGCTAGTTTCCTATACTGCAGTTTGCTGGAGCATCTTTTGAGTCAAACTATTTTAATTAATTTCATTCGATACCTATTTGAGTACAATTAAGAATAAAACTACGA